CCCTCTTCCCCCTCCTCTCCCTCCTCTCCCTCCTCTCCCTCTATCTCCTCTCCCCTTCCCCTCTCCCCTACCTCCTCTCTCCTCTCCCCTCTCCCCTACCTCCTATCCCCTCTTCTCTCTCTCTCTCTCTCTCTCTCTCTCTCTCTCTCTCACACACACACACACACACACCTGCCATGAGTTCCCTGAAGCCCATAGGCAGGCCTTGTGTGCCATTCATGTAAGCCCCATACAAAAACTCAAAAGTGGGGGGGGGACCAAAAATGGGGACCTTCGGGTTCTTTCTTATTTCTATGCCATTCTACACCAGCAAGTACAGAAGCTCTTTGGTATTCTAAGTTGTTCTCCATCCTTTGGGTTTGCATGTTTCTATGTTCTTATCCTATCAAGCTGTGGTTTTCTAAACTAGGCCATGAGTTCATTTCTTCAATATTTCAAGAGCTTACTACACATGAAAGTATTAATTCTTAATAATCAAAAGTCATTTTCCAAAAACTTTAAAAAAGAAATTTAAGAGTCTGGAAAGATGGCTCAGAGGTTAAGAACACCAGCTGTTCTTCCAGAGGACCTGGGTTCAATTTTCCACACTCACCTGGTGGCTCACAACCATCTGTAACTCCAGTCCCGGATGTTCCAATACCCTCTTCTGGCCACCTCCAGTACTGCACACATGTGATGCACAGACATACATGAAAGCAAAGCCCATTCAAAGGGGGAAATATATAATTTATCAAGTAGAGCCAGATCATAACTGGCCCCAAATGAGTCAGTCCACTACTTTTGAGACTGTGTTAGAAATCCACCTTATCACTCAATCCCTGTTATTCTCTCCTGCCATTTACAAAACCAAGTGGAGAAGAAACACCTATAGACTGTACTGCCCTAAACAATTTGTACAGGCCTAACAGGGAAGAGCATCAGACTGTCCCAGTCACTCGACAGTTAAGTTCTGTCTGCATCGTCTTCAGATTTATGAATCTATTACAAAAGTCTGTGACTGGCTCTAAAGGAGTTGAGGAGACTGGTTGTTTAGTTCTCAGGGTCTTCATTAGGCTATCATGTATGCTCACCAACTTTTCTGAGGATCAATGACTAAACATTTGTATGAGATAGTCAGTGAATAGTACAGTTGTCAAGTCTGGGAAATCTTATCAGACATGGGATCAGTTGCTCTGTGTTTGTGCATATTCAGATTATACAGTCCAGTCTTTGCTGGAACCATCAGTGGGGTGCCATTTGTAGGTGTGACCTGCCATGCATGCTTGAAAGCTCGGTAGGCACTTAAGTCCAAAAGTGACATCATTGCCTGTTTTCCTGACACCAACAAAACACAAAGATCCAATGAAATGGGTCCATGAGATGAGCCCTCCCAGGTGTCTGGAGGGCTCTGTGGTTGGGAGGCAGTCGTGGTGTCTACCCAGAAAGGTAAGTATGCCTCTTCCTAGGAGGAACTCCTACACTAGATCAGAATAGAATTATATGACAGACCTGACAGGTGTGCATGTCAGTGTGCGCTGTGCTGGCTCTGCACTTGCCTTGGGATGTCCACATCCGATATCTTTTGACTGGTGCATACGGCACTGAGCTTTAGCTTCCTTGCCAGACCCTACCCTTCCTATCTCAGGCCCTTGCATGAGAAGGGCCCAGCAGCCACCCCTCTGTAAGCTGCTTCTAGGGTTACTTTGCTTACTCTGGAAGTACGCTAGCCAGCTTGCCCTGGGCTCCGCCCTCCTCCTCCTCTTCTCTTTGCCATGCTTGTTTCATGACTGCTTCCTGCAGAACATTCCACCAGATGTTTCCTACCTCCCTCCTCCTCTATACTTATAGCTTCCAGATTCTTCCACCTAGAGCTGCCTGTGTCCACATGTTAGACTAAGTCACTTTCATAGTTGATTGCTGTAATGTCCCATGGGGGCAAAGGCCTCTTCATATAATAGCAGTGAGTGCATTGCAAGCTTTGGTCAGATGTCAGCATCAGTGAATGGCATCAGCAGGGGTTTCCGTTTCTGCTCATGTCTTTAAACCCTTCCATGTGCTGTTATGATCTTTCTCACCTGTCCCCTCCATGGTCAGTATGCTTACAGTTGCCAGAGGTGCCCGGCAGCCCTACCTTTCCCAGGGTAGTCTTCCTCTTTGGGCAAAGAACTCCTCAGCAGTGTGTCTCTGCTTGGTTTTCCTTTTTACTGTTTCTCTCATGCTACTTTCATTTTCTTGCTGGTTCACTCCCAGACCATTGCCCCACTAATCTCTTGCTTCTGTCCTCAATCACTGTGTATGAAGTACGAGGGAACCTTTCTATCATCACTATAACCCACACCCTGCATAACAAAATCATTCCCCTCTTCCAAAAGAGCTGATAGTCTTAGTTTCAAGGTCAGTGCAGAGGGTCCTTAGGAAAGCACATAGCAGAGTTGGCAGGCTATGCTGTGATCCCTCTATTGAAGTCTTCCAGTCACTTGTGAAATATTGGGAAGACTGACTGTGACGGTTATCTATTCCTTTGCAAAACTGATGCCCCAGCGAGGCTAGACCACCACAGTGATCCAGCCAGTTCCACCATCACCTGGCATTTATGAGATCTCTGCTTTTTTTTGTTCATTTATAATTTCCAGAGTGTACATCTGTTTAAACATATTTATGTAGTTCCAAGCCTCAACACGAACTAAGGCAGAGAGCACAAGTTAGCTGTCAACTTTGTGATGTATATAATCATATATAGTAGGTCAGAGGCCGTTTGACAGTCGCAGGACCTGGACAAGCTCTGTGTGCTATTGGGGAGAACTGGAAAGGTTGATTATGCTTCCTGCAAAACAGGTTACAGGTCCACCCAAAGAGCTGACAGGTGTCACATCAGCCTTCTGACTAATGCATGCTGTATGCAGAAAGTGCTAAAGAGAACACCCCTCTGGTGGCATTTTTTAATTAAGGAAGAAAACAAATAGGGGTAGGAATCAAGTGTGAGGACAAGATGAAGAAGAGTGATGTTTGATTTAGGAAGCCTCTCCCTGCCCCCAAATTTTCAGCCCAGTCCCAGTGGCAATAAAGGAAAGTCCCCAGACTGTGGTTCTGCATGTGAATTTGTCAGAAGACCCAAGTCATATGTTGGCCTCTTGTTTTCAAGTGATCCACATGTCGTTTTGATGCTTGTGTAGCTAATCCCAGCATGCTCAGAGCTCATCCGAGGACCGCAGACAGCTCTTCCTCTTCAGGCGCATTCCTCCGTCCTCCTCGCGGCTCTGCTTGCACTCACTACACCTGCCTTTCCCATTTCCTTTCTTGCATGCAAACTAAAACCAGAAACAGAAAGTCACGTAGTTTCTTTGTCCTACTTTCCCTCTGTCTGTCTTGTCTCTGTCTCGTCTGTCTCCTTC